GGAGCTCACCTGAAACCCAACCGGTCTTGCCATAATGAAACCTTCCCTCTATTGAGACTGATGCTCTTGTGGGTAATAGATGTACGCAACCAGTATTGGAATCTACAATTCCAGCTGCATGAGTAGGGGGGAGAATGGGAAGAGTGCTAGACCAGAACTGTCCTCTTTCATATTATGCTGTTCTCCTGCAGGGAACAAAAGATTGGGGGAGGGGAGTTAGGACTCTGGGCACCTTCCTCTTCTGCTCTAGTCCTCACACTTCCCCAATGGTAGTACCTTTTTGAGGGAAACTGGCTTGTATGAGCTATATCACCAACATGGGTACTTTTCCTTAAACATCATCCCTGTGGCTGTGTGTGGCACAGGCATCAATTTGCTTGGTTTTAAGTATCTGTTTGGGTGAAGAGAGGAGGAACACCTTTTCTTGGAGAGTGCTGATCATTTCCCTTTGTATTCCTACTTTCCAGATCAATCTGGCCTTGCAAGGGATGCTAGTAGGAAGAATTTTGTTGCTCTTCCAGATCCATCTCAAGAATAGGCAGACAGAGCAGTGAAAAATCAGCAACAGACATCCCACAAAGACCCTTTCAGTGAGAACATCAATGGAGGGGAACTGTCTGCCAATTCATTAGTCCATCTTTCTTTTTAATTTTTTTATTTTCTATAATTATAATATACACATAAACATATAACGCACAAACTAAAATTTAACTGTGTTCCCCACCACCATAAATGGGACCTCTTGCTGTAATCTTCTTCCTCCACCTGTATTCTTCTTGTTCTTCTTCTATTGTCCTCTTCTCCAGAACTGCATTGATTCTTGATTTGGAGCTGTCCCTTTTCTCTTGTTAACACATATTCCAAACATCTGCCCCATATTTCATGAAATTTATTTTTTAACTCTCCTTTCTTAACCTTTAAACAACAAGTTAATTTACCATTTGTAGCTATATTCCATATTTCCTTCTACCAATCTTCAATTAGAAATTCAGAATTTAATTTCCATTGCCTAGCTATTATCAATCTAGCCGCTGTTAATAAATTGGTTATCAATTCTTTAGTCATCTTATCATATTCCACATTCCCAAATATTCATAACAAAGCAGTCTCAGGATTAAATTCTATATCTTCTTCACATATGTAGTTTAATTCTTTAAAAAATTGTTTCCAAAATCTTTGTACTTGTTCACATTCCCACCACATATGAAAGTGTGTACCAATTTCTCTCTCACATTTCCAACAAATATTCAGATAACTAACATTAATTTTATTTAATTTTGTTGGTGTAAAATACCATCTTAAACCATTTAACAAAGTTTTCTTTTATTCTAACTGACATAAATCTTAAAACCCTCATTTTCCATATCTTCCTCCATTTCCCCTCATTTATTCTTGTTCCAATGTCTTGTTCCCACACTATTTTCAATCCTTCTTTCTCACTTTCTTCTACATCAAGAAGTAAATAAATTTTACTCACAGTACCTTTTACTAAATCAGTCATCCAAATGTTTTCGTATGACAATAAAAATTGTTCATACTTTGTGCATTCTCTATCTTTGTTATATTTCTTTACGCATTCATTAGTCCATCTTTCTAATTGTATATAATTTAACCATGAAATATTGTTATTCAAAAGAGTTTGTTTCATTTGAGCTATCATTCTCATTTTGCACAACCAATCTTTCAGTCTAATCACTTTTTTTCTTCAAATAATTCCACATACACTTTCATTTTAACAGGAAAATTCTCTATTTCTGTCACTGGTCCAAGTGGAAAGTGAGATTGACATAAATTATTTGTATATTTATACCATATATTTAACATTGTCTTTAAAAATGGATTATTAACTTCATTTATTTTATATTTCTTAACCATACCAAATAAATATTTTTTAATATCTATCTGTAATTCTGATGATTCCATTTTTGACCAAATTAACCTTTCTGGGTTATATATAATTTCCCCAATAAACCTCAACTGATTAGCCAAATAATAAGTTTTTTTTAATATTTGGTAAACCCATACCCCCCTTTTTTGCTGTTTTATACCAATAATTTTTATTTATTCTAGGTCTATTGCCTTCATTACTATACTTGTTGATTGTTCTTTGCTGAAATTTCAAATCTTCCTCTCTTAACTGTATTGGTAACATAGCAGACATGGCATTTGAGCTGGCACAGAATCTGGAAACAAAAAATGAATTATTGGAAAGGCAGGTGCAGCAATTAACAGACAAACTCACAGAGCAGGAGAATCGGGGGAGATGTTATAATATCCGTCTGAGACATTTTAAGGAATCTGAGACAGGAGGGGAGGACTTAAAACAAATAATCTTAAAATGGATTCAAGGACTTTGCCCAGACCTCGAAATCACTCCCAAGGATTTGGATATAGTTCATCGGATCGGGAGAAGATCAAAGAATTGGAGAAGGGACATACCGGTGAGATTTGTCTCATTTACAATAAAGACAGATGTCTTGCGTGCTTTGAACAAATTGCAGGAGTTAACATATGAAGGGGAAAAAGTTGAATTTTTTCAAGATCTTGCTGCAGAGACAATATCTAAATCTAAACAATGGAGAAGTTACACATAAGCTCTTCAGGAGAGGAAATTAATCTAAAAATGGCTCTGTCCATTTGGACTATCGGTTATGATGGGAAATAAACGGAGAACAGCAACAAATATAGAGGAACTGCAGTGTCTTTTTGAATATTTAAATGTTCCCTTTCCAGGAGAACAGACTATGGCGAACAGAGAAATCAAGCAGATCATATAGAAAAAATGCAGCTGCGGTTGAAGAGAAACGCGAAATGAGATATACAGCTGCACTTTCAAGGTCATAATGGGGAGTACATCTGTTGCTGAAGATAATTACATTGCTCCCAGAACTTAGTAAAAGAGCTGGAAGGACCTTTATATATAGACTTGTAGCTATCATAAAACCCTAATACAGTGGTGCCTCACACAACGATGTTAATTGGTTCCAAAAAAATCAACGTTGTGTGAAACATCGTTCTGTGAAACACCATTTCCCATAGGAATGCATTGAAAACAGGTTATTCCATTCCAATTGGAACGGATTGCCATCGCTGAGTGAAAATCCCCATAGGAAACATCGCTGTGTGAAACAATGTTTCCTCCATTAGAATGTATTGAAGCCAACTCAATACATTTCAATGGCTTTGTGAAGTCCTTTTTCGCTCCTGTAAAAGTGTCTTACAATGTTTGGAAGCCGTTTTAAATGGTTGCAATGGTTAGCCCACCTCCTGAAACCTACGCAAACTGATTTTGGTGTTGTTCTGACACTTCGTTAATTTATGGTAATTTTTTGTTTTCCCCCCTCATTGAACTCCGTGCATTTCAATGAGGGGGGAAAACAAAAAATTACCATAAATTGACGAAGTGTCAGAACAACACCAAAATCAGTACAGTATTTCCACAGTTCAGTTTTTAATACAGAATCTCTAAAATTCCAAAGGCTTTTTTAAAAAGTCAGTTAAATGTAGTAAAGTTGGCGATGATATTCTGATTTCCTCCAGTAGGTGTCATCATCTCCCCACATACAGTCTGTCTAGTGCACTGCAGGTCCACTTTAACAAAGGCTTCCCTTCAGCCTCCACGAGAGAGGAGAGGTTTCTCCCTCGCGGAGATAGAATATTGTCCCAAAGTCACAGAAACCGGTACTCAATCTTAAAAACTCTGTCAGGTTCTTTATAACATCGACACATGCTCTGTCCACTGTTGTTTAATTGATCAAGCAGTTTCCAGGAACAGCTTTATTGTTTTGACCTTGGATCGGACCCGATCAAAATTACTTTCGTTTTCAGATTAGCTCAGTAGCAGGACCGATCAACGGAGAATTCGCCACTTCTAAACTCCTTTCGGCCCTTATCTCATTTACCAGTTCTTTTAGCTTAAGGGCTTCAATTTTTGTTTATTGTTGTCCATTTTTTAACTGTAATTCTCAGCTCTCTTTTTTCCCCAGGCATTCGGAGTACTCACTGTTAGTCACCAAGATGGCGTTCCGTATCCAGCCTGCTCTTCGTGATTCTCTTCAGAGGGAGGAAAAGATGGGCCACCTCCTCTCATTCCCTTCCTCCGATGCTCACACTCAGCCCAGAGGAGCTTCTCCGAGCTCCTCCTCACCCTTGTTATCCCCTAAGGGGTGTTCAGGCTGGTTGGTTTTCAGCATTTCCCCGGGAGCTCTCTCCGGGTACAACTGAACAGCACAGTGACAAAGCTCCGCCTCCAGAAAAATATTAACTTTTGAAGGTGTCTCTTATACACACATTTGAAAATTTAGCACAGTAAGGACATTGTAAATCATTCTTAAATCTTATTCATACAGCTTAGCCACTTTAAAATACCACTCTCCATGAAATGTAGACTTCGTTCTCCTGTTGTAGGTAGGGCTGCATACAGTATAAGCAAAATATTTATGAGAGCTGATAAAGTGCTGTGATTACAGTGAAAGCCTAGGACCAGAGAGAGACCAGGGTTCAAATTCTAGCTCAACCAAAAAAGTAAATGTGTGACCCCAAATCAATGATCACCCCTAAACTCAATTTGCCTCACCAGATCAAATGCCCTGCCTATTTACTACAGTGGGATTTACTGTTAGGTACATATAGCACTGAAATCATTACTGTATATGAAGAAAATAATACGAAGTGTGTTCTGCATATGTTGTGTTTATTGCAAATAAAAATTAGTGACAATTATTTAACAGTTATTCTAAGAGAACCACATACTTCATACATCATACGTTAGGATTACCTTTCAGTTCTTTGGGATTATCCCCAAATTCCTTGGTCACTGTTGAATTACATCATCAGGATCCACCTGAGTCTTTATTATGATATGAATCACTTAATCCACACAAATCAATGACAAAAACATGTAATTCCCCTTTTTTAGTTGCCCAGTAACAACATGACTCTAACAAAGTTTGCTTCCAGACAAGGAGTTATTGTGAAATCCTATTTTATTAAAGGTCCATATATGACAAACTTTTATCTTTGTTTTTGTTACCTCAATGAAGCTGGTTTTGTTTATCACAGTAGTGAAAGTCCAGCTTATTTTTTTTTAAGTCAGAGGAATAACGTAATGTTGATAGCTATAAATTGACTTAGCACTTAGTTTCTCTGTGTTGTAGCACTGTGGCTTTGATGTGACAAGTGAAATGCCCAAATAATCTCAGAATTCCAAAAACTGGCCAGGATATCAACAGGACTGCCTGTGCCTCACATGTAAGGTAGGAACTTCCCAATGGTAATCGATCTAGCTAGATGCTTTAACAATCCGTCATTACTTAAAGTATCACTAAAGTACTGTATACTGAGTAGAGTTTAGTGTGTAGAATTATTTCTCCCAGTTTTGTTACTAGCAAGGACACTCTCAAAGTATCAACAGAACTCTGGATGGAGAGCTTTTCAGTTTCACTGGAGAAAAATTTGGAACTTGCAACCAGAGAGACACAGCCAGTATACTAATTTTGTTGCCTTGTGAGTGACCTGAATCCTGTTATGTGATTGCTTTGGTATTAGAACAGCATGCCTATTGTATCCATGAGAGAAGCCACAGGAGGACACAGACTCAAGAATAAGTAGATCAACATTTCAAAACAAAAGATCTTGTGGGACACTTATATGTCCCTTTTCTGTTTGCTTTGCCAGAAGTAACAGTCCAGGATCCCAAAACAGATGTCATGACATAATTACACAAAAGTCACACTTCATATTTCAGTTTAAAGCAGAAAGATGCACTTTGGAGCTCAAAAGTAACACAGCTGCTTTAAAACTCACATGGTCTGTCGTGTCAACAATTTCAGGTGAGTGTAGACTAAAACTGTCTGCCATCAAGCTGATTATGACTTAGCGCAATCCTTTTTTAGGGTTTTCTGTGTGAACAGTACTTAGAAGTCGTTTACCATTTTCTTCTTCTGGGGGCATCCTGGGGGGGTACAGTTTGCCCAAGGTTACATAGGCTGGTTCTTTTGGGATGAATAATGAGAAACTGAACTCCTAACCTCTGGCTCCACAGCCCCTACTATGGTGTAATGGATCGAGACACTAGGACTCTGGAGATCAGGGTTCAAATCCGCACTTGGCCATGGAAACTCACTGGGGGAGAGGAACTGGTAAAACCACTCCTGAAATACCTCACTTGCCTTGAAAGCCCTTTTACAGTTGCTATAACTCAGCTCCAACTTGAGAGCATATAACTAACAAAAGTAAACTAAAATAGAAGGTGTTGTTTATTGTCTGTCTGCATAGCTAGCCTTCCAGGAGTCACCACACCAAGTCACGTGCAGAACCCGTTGGTTACGTTGGGGGTGCTGTTGGTAAGTGCACTGGCATCTAGCAACACCTGTGCGGAGGAGGCATGGTCTGAGTGGGAAAATCGGGAGCCCTGGGTTGCTTCTGAGGAAGGACAAGAGCAAGCAATAGGAGACATCCCTTGGCTGATTATGAGGAAGGACAAGAGGACAATTTCTCAGAAGTGGGCATCAAGCCTGATGCCAAGATCCACAGATGTGAGTATAAGGCCTCTTTGGCACTGCCCTTCTTGGGGATTGGGATGCAGACTGATCTTTTCCAGTTCTCTGGCCACTGTTGAGTTTTCCAAACTTGTTGCCATATTGAATGTAGCACCTTTTGAATATGTTGTTCCAATGCAAACCAAAGAAATGAACATGTGAGTACTAAAACATTTGCAACTGCAACAATTTTCTGAGAGAAGGGTTGCATTTTCTGACAGAATTGAAGGGATGCCAATATTTTTGGCCATGAACTGATCACTTCTAATAAGGTATCCAAATAGAGGAATGCATAACAGAACAGTCTGATATTATTCACATTATTGCCCTTGTAGAAAACTACTTATCAATGAAAACTAAGTCATGCTTTCTGACCATGTTCAGAAATAGCTGCAACCAGATGCCCAACTGCCTCTTTGCACTGTAGGACAACTCATAATCAGGAAAGTCAGGTGCTAGTTCAAAAGTCTTGAATGAGTGAACAATTGTAATGGATTGATTGTTTTGCTTCACTGAAATGTTATATACACCTATGGCAGGTTGGATTATGCTTGAATATCTCATGCTTATCTGAGTGATTCTGAACTACAGCTGGCAAAATTAAGAATCCCAGATGATCCAGATAATTATGCTGACAATGCAATCACCATTGACCCCAATGAGATTCCCACAGAGATACGCTTCAGTTCAAGGTTAGAATACTTTAATAATAAAGGGGATGTGTTATATTTTCTGTTTAGTAGCTTGAGCACTTGGCAGTCAGTGTTTTATGTAAATGTAATACAATAAAATAATCAGTATCAAGTAGAATTGTGCTTGTAGATGAGGGGATCCCTTTTATGATTGTTTTTCTTTCAAGGGGAGCATGGTAAAGGAATAAGCATTTGTCACACTATTATAGCTGATTTTCATGTGCAAATCTAGTTGATGTCAATGGGGCTTGAAGAACTATTGGATACATGTTTTCTCAGTTTTATGCTAGTTTCCACATCTATTTTGTGGTATTTCTTTGTTAATGAACATAAAAGTAAAACATAACACAATAAAAGTGGAAATTTAAAATGTGCTTTCTTCTTGTTGTTGTTTTTCTTCTCTTTGTTTCACATAATGTTAAGTGCTTACACCCTCCTGGTTTCTGCTGATGAAATTGTTTTCCACACCAATACAGTACAATTAATTATAGAGTTGCAATAATCAACATCACACTCCCAAAACAGTTCAGTTTCAAGTGGGAATATAGCTCCATCCCATTAATACTGCTCTCTTCCCCACCCTTTTATTTTGTCCTTCTTCTTTTATTTCTTTTATTTTTTTGGAAGTGACATAGCACTACATTTGACAAGCGTAATTTAAATAAGCAGAAACATTGTTCAGAGCAGGGGACATAACGGGTGATCAGTTGAGGGGAAATATCCTACTGTAATGCTATGCCCTGCTAAAGACATCAACATGAATGATATCTCATGTCAGAAGCTGATAAGTATAACTGACTCCCGCAGGAATCATATAGAGATTCATTGACCTCCGGGGTAAGAGGAGTACAGATTCTTTCAAGAGTAAAACTGAACAATAAGAGTTTATCACCTAATAAGACAGGGAATGCATCTCTATATTTCATTTAAAAGTAAAAATCAGTATAACTTCAAAAGCTTTTAATGCTTTCTTAAAAATACATTAAAGAACATCAGAGTTCTTATAAAAATATACAGTATATAATGAAAAGCATTATTTACCTCTAAGCATGATGTTAACACAGAAAAATATTTTCTCACCAGGTCTTAGCCAGTTACCTATGCTATGTCCATAATCTGAGGCGGCGTAATCTCTTTGCTATGCTCTGTATGGTAGGCACAAGTCCCATTCTCCATCTCGATCCATGAGAACAAATCTTGTGTACTTTCCACTCCCTCCAGATAAAATGTCTCTCCATATATATGAGTGCAAGAGAGCTCACAATTTATAGTCTAGTGCCACTTCAAAACAAAGTTTCATAAGAGTTTGTAGTTTTCAACCAATTAGAAGCTCATATGTGGAAGGTCGCAAGGCTTGCTCCTCCCAACGCTCTTCTTTCCTAGACAGAGCAAAGTCCAAGTCCAGTGGAGCCCAGGGCCTGGTTTTTAAGGTTGGAGTGAAATCCCCCTTCTCTTCTGTGAATGCTTGTTAAATTGATGAAATTCATTGACAATACATTACATTAGGGACAGTACCATACATATACATATTTCATTCATTAGAAATACAGAATATTCCAAAATCTTTTATATATTCTTTAATATACCATTGTTATAATTATTAATTATGAGGCTAAAGCCTTAGAAAACAAATGACGTCTTCTTTCCCTTCTTTACCTGCTTATCAGGAAACAAAGTGCTTAAAAGAACATTAATATTTTTCTCCTTTTACACTATTCTGTATAAGCTTCTATAGTACAATATACATATATTGTTGTTCCCTTTTGTTTAACACAGATTTCCACAGCTATTTTGTGGTATTTGTTAATTAACATAAAAGTAAAATATAACACAATAAAAGTGGAAGTTTAAAATTCACTTTCTTTTTGTTCTTCTTCTCTTTGTTTCACATAGTGTTACTTGTTTACTTGTCTCATTGTGAAAACTGGCACAAAACTGAATGAGCTATTACTGTCTTGTTATCTCATCAGTAGCTTTTGTATCCAAAACAACTGATTTGATTTGGTAAACTGTTCCCAGCTGTAGTTTTTCAATAATACTTTCACTTTTAATGCACTTCTCTGAGGCACCTTTTAAAGAATTGATCAATTTTAAGGCAACACCTTGGCACCCCATAAATTCAATTTTTTTTAAACCCTAAAACATGGATGTGATTTCAGATGCCCTTTTGAACTCGGATAGGTGGTTGCACATGCTGAAAAAAGAACAGCAATGGCAGATGAACTGATGCAAAATAAACCTCACCCTGATTGAATAAAAAGGAACAACAACAACAAAAAGTGCCCATGGAGAAAGACTGGGCTTCCCTGTGCTTAGTTTTACACTGCATACTTGCCAGTGCTTAGCTTTACACTGCATACTTGCCAGTCAATACTTCAATTTTAACCATGCCAACTCTGATACAAACCCTGGAATAAATTACAGCATGGTTGCACTGTCAGCTTTCTGGTGCAGCGCTGTAAATACAGGGTTATAGTGCATGTTGGCCTGATATGCCATCCTATAATATCTGTTTGGATGTAAGCCTGACTGAATACAGTGGACTGCACTCCAAAGTAACAGCATGTAGGATAGTATCATTTGCCTCTGGTAACTGTGCAAAGATAGAAAGACTTATGTGACAAACACCTGTGAAATGTATACTGGCATAGTGGGGATAGAAAGGGAAATAAGATTTATTTAAACTAATTTAGACTCTGTTGCATCCTTTGAAAAGAATGAGTATGTATCTGTGGCATATTGAGAACATTTTCTTACTCCTTATTTCTTCTTAGATTTAGATCCTACAAAGAAGGACACAATTATGAGCTAAATCATAACTTTTACATGAGCATACTGAAGTACTTTAAGCAAGCTAGCTAAAAAGGTGACACATCAATACATTTTTAAGAAGCAGAGAAACAACAACAGAACTGTGTGACCATAAATTCTTATTTAAGACCCAGGCATATCTGTGTTACTCTATCTTATGGACCAACTGAATTGATCATGTTAATTTCATGTGATTACCGTAGCACTATTATATACCTGTCTTCTCAGACATAACTCCCATTTTGTTCAGTGGACTCTACTGTACTTCTGTTGCACTCTCTAGGTTTAAAGTAGCATCACCATTGGAGAGAAAAGGTTAGTTTTGGATTATGAGAGAATGTTGAATATGGCAAGGAGACTTTAACTGTGGTCCCTTTATTATCCACACATAATAAACTCTATAGGAAAAAAGGAAAAAGAAAGAAAGGAAAGATAACAGGTATACTATTGTGACTCATAGGATAATTAAATAAACTGTGTACTGTACTAAGAAAGTAATAGATGTAATCATCTTTTTCTATGTTCCAATTTTTTTAAAAAAATTGTTACATTTATTTACTATATTTCTTTCCCACTTTTTCCTATAATGAGTTGAAGGTGGCATATACTTTACATAAATATCACTTTTCCTCCTCCCCATTTTATCTTGATTACAAACCAAAAGAACTAAGGTACAACCAAGAGATAGTAGAAACAATGTATCTCTGTACATCTTGAAAGCTTGCTAAATGCTTGGAAAGCTAGGTCACCATGACAAGCAAGTAGGACTGCAGCCAACTGTCTTCACAACTCCTTATTGTAACATGCACTGTTATGTAGCCTGCATTTTCTGTTTTATTTGCTTTATGTATTTACATGCAAGGAATTTATGGCTGTGCCATGTAACCTCCAAGCATTGCTGAAGCTACTCCAGCTGGTAATGATCCATTGGGAATGGCTTGCCCAGTTCTTGTGCTATGTCTCTTGAGTCCTTGTCCTCAAGTAACATTTTCTGCCCCATTACCACCGTTGCAGTGACATTTCCATGAATGAGGGCCTTTTGTTCAGGCTGTAGGGCAGATTCCACACATTTGCCATGCTCTAGTCATTTATGATATTAGTGCTTGTTGTAAAACACTGCATTGTCTTATCAGCCAAGTTGTCTCATTTTAAGCACCCATTTACTGTTTTTTTAAGTCTGGGCTGTGGGGTGGAGCAGCGTTTGTGTCTCCTTGCTTCTGTTTTAATTAGTTTAATCAGTTTCAAATAGTTTTAAATAATTTAAACAGTTTATGTTTTTTAAGTTTTAATTGCTCCAACCTTCATCTTTTAATCTTGGTTTTGGCAAGTCTTTTAAAACTTTTTTGGAGTCGCAATAAGATCCTAGGGAGTTTGGCTCCCAAGCGGGCCAAAGGAGATTGGCTCCCAAGCGGGCCAAAGGAGAAGGACGCAGAGATTAGCTTCAGCCTTATCTCACTCTCAAACAACAATAACAGCTGCATTCAGCCATAACATAGAGCTGGAAGACTTATTTATTCACTTTTATCTAAATCGGAACTGAACTCTTGAGTTTTTACATTTTATAATCTATTTTAACTCGGAACCCTGGAGCTTTTTCAGAGGGCTTTTTGGAAGAAGATCCCTAACACAAGAAGGTGGACAAGATAAGTAACATTTTACTTGTTAAGCTAGTGAACAGACAGCCAGGATATTTTTTTTCTGAGAAGCACTCTGGACACATTGAATTTTCAGATTAGGGAATTTAAACCAGCTAGTATGGTTCTCACAAGGCAGGATTGCAAGTTACTGGGGACCTCACCCCCAAAAGCACTTGAATTGCCACAGAGGAAAAGACAAACAAAAATGTCAGCCTTCTTCCCTATAAGAACAAAAAGGGAAAACCCACTGCGGATTCTGATTCCTTGGATAACTCTGATGTACCTACCAGTTATATCAACAATCTGGACTGGTCAGTAGATTACTCTTGGGGCAAACTGGAAATGCAAATCAATGAGAACTTGGCAATGGAAATTGCTCAAGCTGAAAGCCTGGAATATACAACTGTGGCGTTCGCTACAACTCTTGGGAATGATATAAGGTATATTTCTGTAAATATGGAAGGGGAGATAAGACAGGAGGTAGAATTAGAATCCCCCCAAGATGCTAATATTGAATTGCCAGAAATGTGGAAGAACCAAGACACACGGTCTAACTCTAGGATGGTGAGAGATGAAATTAATGAGAGAACAAAGGCTGCCTTCAGCCCCATCTCAGAAAAGGGAGCAGAGGCTGCTGCAGAGGGATTGGAAGCACCAAGAGAAAAATTGTTTATGAATAGTATTAGTTTACTATCCAAATAATTGGAGGCAATAAAACAATTCCTGTCAGGGTGCCAAGGGCTGCTAAGCACAATGGTTGAGATATGCTTGAGGCATGGAGGATTGCACTGTAC